TATGAGAGTGCTTATATGTGATTAGAACTACCGTTCACCAAATGCGGAGTATGAAAATTCATTAGGGCCACTAGGTAAATAATTCACCACGTGTTTCGATTTCTAGTTGTACTTCGGTTAATGAGACCATATAGGTTGGTAAGACCATATAAGCATACATACAATTAATTCGTCCACAACCTGGTGTTTGACATAAAATTGTTTTCTGAAGGTAATGTCATGACTTATCTCATGAGTTGAATGAGGTCACCTTCGGTGATTGTCTAAACGGCATATATACCGTAATATCCACTTTTGTCAATATTGTTTGCATAAATGGCCTATCAATAAACACTTCAATGACACATTTATGTCCTCGTTAAACACCCTGTGTTTTATATTGAAAAAAGTGTATTTTTGTGTGCTTACAATTTTATTGTGCTTAAGTTTCATCAAAAAGTGTTTTAATAACTCCCCAAAACACTTTTCTAAAAATACTAAAACACTACTGTTTGGATATAAGATACAGTTGTTTTATTTGATAATACATATGTGTTTAATTACAACAATGTGCTTTCAATGACAACGGTGTGTTTTAATGAATAACAAGAATGAGCCTCCAAGATTTACAATGTAAAAGTACTTTTACTAGAAACACATTTCGAAAAGTGCTCCAACCAGTTTTTGTCATCGCAACACTTCCTTTGCTATCACACAATTTTGAAAAATGCTAGAAGAAACAATTTTATAAGTTTTATTATAATGAATACTTGTCGATCTGATGTTCTAGTGAAACACTTTTACATATGCAGAAATAAACGAAAAATTTTGCAATCAAAATAGTTTTCATTATATATTTTTTTCATAATTATGCAAATTATAAACACTTAAAGTGTTTTTTAAAGTGCGGACAAACTTTAAATAATTCATCCAAATTTGTTTTTACATAACAATAGTTTTGTAATATAACTCATGTGGCATTTGTTGAATTATACAACACATGGTTTTAAATTGGGAGAAAAAATTGTCAAAACACTTTATAACACTTGAAATTTGATCCCCTTCCCATAATGCGAAAAAACAAGACGAGTTTTAAATATCGATAACATAAAATGTCCTTCGTCTCAGTTTACAAAGGTCGATGTCTTTCATAAACTGTACATGAAAGGAGCAGCCATGAAGTTCTTTTTTTCACAAGTTTGTCCACGAAAATTATCAATAGTACAAATTTTGAAATAATGACAGATCCAAAAAAATGAAATTTAATAAATATTTGAACCTACAAACACGGACACACTACATCCCCCATATTGGAATAAGTACACGCCTACTCGTATTTCAGCAATTACACATAATCAAGAACATCCCTGCTCTGGTGTCACTTCTGGTAGACAGGCAGAATGATGTGCAATGCAGACCCAACTGTATATTGCAATTGTGCACTATAGTTAATATTTACATATTCAACTGACACGTGTTTTGTTAGTAAATAAAACATATATTTGTTGTTGACGTTATGTTTTCGAATTAATGTCAAATGTATATTTATTTGTATGACACCACTAGTCTATAGAAAATATTATACACCTGAGTACATCGCTGTACGTGTATTTGCATAGCGAACCATCTCGCTATTGTTTGTGACTGGCTTAACGAGTATAATATCACGTGCAGCGCTCAGACTGTCACTCATTGTAACAACAGTGGTTTATGTATACAGCACACAGTAAACAGATTCTAAATTAGCAATCACTATTAAATACAGATGGAATATTATACGGATATACATCTCTAAATATTAAAGGGAAGCGATTCCTAAAATCATAATTACAATAAATATAGGGAAAAATATTTGTGATCACGCACTCATTAAATACAAGAGGGAATTCATTTGATAACAAAATAGTATATATTGTTTCTATTAACATGCATCTACATGGTAACCCTTAGAAGCACTTTCATGTTTTTCATTTAAACACACTATTTACATTGGCAACACATGTTCAATTGAAAAACATGTGCGTTTTCTATCAAAACAGTCACTCTTACTCCGGGCATAAGTTTACCCAAAAACAGTCATCAACAAATCTATTTTTTAAACAGTGACAGACCCTCGAATTAAAAAAAGATAAATTAAACAAGCACTCACCCACGCATAACGCAATAATTATGCATAATCAGGAAAATCTCAGCTATAATTTGAGCTGATCACTTCCGGCAGACAAGAGAAATCTTGTTGCAGGCCACACGTATGCTGCAAATGTGCACTAAAGTTAATATTTACTTACGTGTTTTGTTAGCAAATAAAACACTTCTTTTCCTGACATTATATGTCTCAGAATTAATGTCGGATTTATATTAATTGGTATGATATCATTGAAATATAGACAATAGTATACACCTTTTGTCCGTCATTCAACCACACAAGCTGAGTCCATCTCTGTGCGTGTATTGTACAATGGGAAACCATCTCCACGAGAACAATAGTCTGGCCAGCGATCAAACTGCCACTCATGCCAAGGCGCATGTGTGCAACACACAGTGTGCAGATTCCAAATCCGGAAATCACAATTAAATACAGTAGAAATATTGAATAGATACCATCTACATATATTAAAGTGCAGTGAGTACTAAAATCATAATTAATATAGCAAATGTAAATCAAGCATACACTACCAGTTATACAAACGCGAATTATTTTATAACAAATTAGAACCTATTTACTAATCTATTACATGCGTCTACGTAGTAATTATTGTAAGCACTTTCATGTGTTTCATTAAAACATACTATTTGTACTGAAAGCCTCAATTTTCAAATTAAAGACATGTGTATTATATTGAATAAGAAAAAAAGGTTTTAATCGCACCAGGGTATTTTTACACGTGATTTAAGCATGTATCACGAAAACTATTCAATTTGAAGCACTCGGAAAGCAAATTCACCGACGATGTTTCAACTCAAAACACTATAAATGTTTCAAAAAGTGGTAATGTATAAAGCACATTTGTGTTCATGAGAGTAACTAAAACACTTTTTTTTTAAATTATTTTATTTTGAAGCACTTCTGAAAACAAACACACATCCAATGTTTTAACTTAAAAAACCGACGATACATGTTTCGTATGTCTTTTTTGTATACGACATGTACACAAATAACAATAACTGAAATTGTTTGTATTCTGTAGTACTTTAGAAAACAAACACACATGGAATGTTTCAACCTAAAATGATTCATGTACATGAGTTAGAAAAGGTAACCCTTTTATGCAGTCTACGGTACACATCTATAACAGCTACAATGTTTATACAGCATTAGATATCAAAATTGTTTGCACGTGTGCATACCATGTACCTGTCATCGATCAGGTTCCTTTTTTTCGGTGATACAACAATCTTAAACGATGGCGTACACGATGCGCATGCTCATTTAAGGGTCGGATTTTTAATTATTCAAACGTCAGCTGTAATGTACTCATGTGTGAATCTATAGCCACCCTATAGTTGATTTATGCGGTGGTTATAGAGTATTATTTGACTCATGTACACGTAGGGTGCGATACTGCGTAGGTAAGTATATGTTTTATGTCAATATACGATATGTGACAGATTTTTAAACTTACTCTGATTTGATTGAATTTCTTATATTTACAGCTAATAAATATAGCAAAATAAATAAAGTATTGTTTCGGTATTGGTTTCTATTATTTGTCTTTTCAATATCTATTTCAGACTGTTATCATAAACGTGTTATTTTATTTTATTGTATAAATGACGTTTTCACGGATTAAGCTCAGCGGGGAAAGAGTGTGTTTTATTTGTATTGGTTTAGTTATTGGGTATTATTTCTTCCAGAGGGTGAGTTATTTTAGAACATATTCTCGAAACTAATCAGCCGACTTCATTTTTCAAATAAATTACATTTATATAGCCACGTCGATGGTCAAATGTGTGTGAATGGTTTCTTGATTATAATGATTGTAATACTGAGATAAAATTAATATACACATATGAAAACAACACCCAGACAGCTTGTAATAAACATACGCCACGCATATTAATGTCTTTCGTATAGTAATCTTGGTTCATTAATACAAGGATTAAAATATGTGTAAATAGTGGTTAATCAGCATGACACTTTTAAGCATTTGATTGCAAATTAACCACAACTAAGAAACTGCATTGGATCGACTACACATCTTTTAATTTGATTGTGATAATTGAGTAAGTGGCAGACCGAGACAGCTGTTACAACGCATATAATACTCCCTTACAGGAACGTGATATATCTCCGTCATCAAATGAAGATGTGTCTTCGATACAATATCGCACAGTCATTATTCAGGAGAAACTGAAACAAGCAGCGACACATGACGCAACGCCTTCTCGTCCCCGCAACGACATAAATGACCAAGGGCAAACAAGAGTACTGCTGACACCAGTAAAACACGGTTTAATAGTGCTAATGGCGAATCACCGAAACAAGATGAATTGAAAAAAACTGTTGGGGTGGACAAAAATGTGGAGGTAGAAGAAGCCGTGAGGAAAAAAACAGTGGACTTATATCCTTACAGAATGTATAACCCATTTGCAATGGAATGGGTGAACGTGGTTGATGAGTTGGAATGGATTCATAGAAACAGTTATAACGAAGACAAGAAGGTTTATAAACTACCGTTCGATTTAGGTAGTGGGGATCTGCGACTAACATCTCCTAATGAAACTAGGTAATGATTTGATTTCATTGTTGCTCGAGAAATTTTCACTCTAATATACTATTTCCGTAACTTAGTTTTTCAAACGTTGAAAATTATATTTTCACATGAATATGAATTGGAGATTTCACAATATGTGTACACAGGTGAGATATTTAATTGTAAGTTCTTAATTAAAAGTAGGTCAATTTAAAACACATTAATCACAGTGCTTAACACATTTTTTTCTGATGCGAAAATCTTTACGTTTCTGCTCTTGAGCACATCTAACACAAAACATAATATTGCCAAATTTTATACAGCTTCCAATCAAAGAAAGCTTAGAACTCCCATGTGCTGAAGGTACTGGAGGCATGAAAAACAAATAAAGAATACTGTATTTATTAATATATTAGAAGCACGTCTTCATTGCACATAAAGCATTGGTTAAGCAATTAAAAATATTCAATGAAATAATGACCATATATAGTAACTTAATAGTTTGGTCATGAACAAAATTGTAGCATAAGTTGCATATCCCTATCTGCAACAGTACTTAGTACATTACACAGGTAGATAATAGGTAATAACAGATAATTAATATGCATTAACATGCATTTCAACTCTGAAGTAATCAGGTCAGTGGATTATCTAAAAACATCTATGTACCTAATGTTATTAACATTTGATCAGTGGCACGCAAGATAACTGAGGAGCAGTTAATTTATGCAAATAAGGTAATTAGTAAGCATAAAATTTAACCCTAAACTAAACATATATATGGCTTATTGCTAAGCATCTACATCTGTATATAAATTTCCTATAGTGTCTATCTACCATGTTTTATTTAAATCTGTTGAATGGTATTTGAGAAACAAGCTTGAATGCTTAACATTTGCTAATTATTATGCAAACTAGGTCATTGATATGCAAAGGATTTCAACCAAAACTAATCAGTACTGCGCATTATCCCAGAACATCAATGTACCAAATTTAATTGAAATGCGAACAAGTAAAAATGCTTAAAATTGGCTAATTAATATGCCAATTAAACAATTATTATGTACAGAATTCAACCAAAATTTTGTCAGGTCTGAGTATTATCCTAGCGTATCTATGTACCAAGTTTCATTGAAATCTGTTTAATGGTATATGAGAAACAAGTCAAACTGCTTAAAATCGGTTAATTAATACGCAAATTAGTAAATTAATATGCACAGATTTCAACTAAAAACTAATCAGGTCCGATCATTACCCATAGCATCTATGTACAAGTTTCATTAAAATCCGATAATTGGTTCTTGAGATACCAGTGGAACAGGCACACAGATGCACTAACCTCAAAGATTCCCATTGTGTGTTTTGTACACGGGAGTTAAAAGCAATAACAAACAACTTTCTGCTGAAAAATTGTCCTTCAGTAGATTATTTATTAGTTGAAAAGAAAGTTGGATAAACTAAAAGCTATACAAATGGTTTCAGAGAGAATTACCAGCATGAATGACAGATATGCAAATAGACTGAATAGATGAGAAGTAGTATATCTATCAGTAGACAACTTTATATTTGTGTTTTCTTGTTTAGAGTTGTAGTCCAAAATGTGAAAAACAATATTCGCAAAGGCACATATATTTGTGTTAGTATCGAAACCATCGATGAGAATGGCCGTAAACGAAACAGGGGAGGTGACTTCTTCACTGCTGGCATGACGAATGTTGGTCTAGGAAAGAGTACGGCTGGTCGTGTTGTTGATCACGGCAACGGCACATACCATGTTTATTTCTATGCGGCCTGGTCTGGCGAAGCAACAATAGATATTGCAC